TCTCAGCGGTAGCAGGATAGCTTTCGACCAGCTGACGAGCCCTAGAATTAGCTAAAGTAGCCTGCACAAGATAATGATATTTATCAATATCGTCAATATTCTCGTCATCATCTATTCTTTTGAATTGTGCCCAAAAAGGTAGCCAATCCTTCAAATCCCCGCTAAACTTTTTGAATTCAATAGTAGGTAGCCTCAGCTTAGTCCTAACAGCAGTAGATTTACTCATTACAGACCCATTGGACTCAGGTGAAGTAGCCCTAGACCTAGACCTAATCAATCTACTCTGTACAGCTAAACTAATTTGATTAAACTTCTCTACATATTCATCTGCTAGCCTAACTTCTTCATCTAACTCTTCTTCATCTGCTCCAGAATCAAGTAAGAAATCTAAAATTTCCCTGTCCAAAGTTTTTAGTTCTTCTATCTTACCTTCCAGAGAGCTCAATTTACCCTGTATATTGTGTAGATCTTGCTCATCTTTGCATAGCTCCTCATTTATCCCATTATAAATTCTAGTAAATGCTGTTCTGAAGGTTTTTCTTAATTTCCTATTTCTTTCCATTATCTCAATAGTGACTATCTAGTTAAGAACTCATACAGTCCTGTCACGGTCGCCAAATGTTAAAAGTCAAAAATGGAAAGAGAAATAGACTAGATAATGAGCAGAAAATAATTTAATTATTCACAAAAGAAAAGTTACTCAATCATAGTAAAATGCTACCAAACTAATTATTTCTGTAATCACAACATAACAATTCATTCCAAAATCATATGTCTCAAAATTATAAAAGTTCATATTTTCATAGCAGCTGGAAAAGACAATACAAAATATAAACCATAGATTATTTAAGTGAAATGTTTGTATACTATATCCAACAACTACAATGCACCAAATGACTTTGTCAGTTCCATGTAGCTTATTTCAGTTTAGACGAGCAGGTAGGATTGTGATGTCATTAGTGTGCCTGGAGCAAGACATGAAGTCGTTAAGAATTAATTACTCTATAGATGCCATTCGTAATGGTTTTTGATTCATCGGAGTACAAGAAATGGTCGAGGAGTATGAAAAAAGTATTCAGACTGATTTTTTTCAATATCAAGACTGTATATTGATATTTGTATACATCTACACTAAAACAATATTTGTTTGTAATCCAGTAAAATACATTGTTTGAATTTTGGTTTGCTTTCCTTAAACGGACAATACAAATTTTGTATGACCAAGGCTATCATTACTTTTAAAGACTCTAGAATGTTTCTCGCAGTTACTGTACTTTCGGACATTGTGAGATTTGGACGTCATGCAACAGTCAAATATTGTATATTGGACGTCGTGAAACAGTAAAAAAATATATTTCGGACGTCGTCGTGGCATTTGGACTTTGGCAACACTCCCTAGACCAGTTGTATTACATAGGCTATTACATCCAAACCATAGACCGACAGTAGTGCTGCAGTTAGCATAAGTTCTGACGTCCACCACTAGGAGCACCGTGTAGCTACGTCGCACGCGCTACGTAACTACGGCACTCCTAGCGGTGGTTGCCATAACTTATACTAACCGCAGTACTGCCGTCGGGCTATATTTAATTCTTTTTTTCTATGACCAAACTATTAGATTTGTGAATGATTTGAGATGCATACGAATAGGCTTATAAATTTTGAAATTAGTGACATTTAATCGACACCGAATGCGTCTGATGAAGTAAAAATAAGCTCGAATGCCTTACGTAACATGACAGGAGGGTGTGACGACTGACTACTGATCGGGTGTCTGCGATCACATTACAACTGGTCCAGACATATATACAACCAGGAATGATGGCGAAGGCCAAAAATGATTATTTATGTATCAAGGCAAAACTTGTATCTGAGAGTGACGGTAATGCGGATTTGTTTATTTTATCCTAATGATCGTAACTACTTAAACACAGTACCTTAAAGATACCAATTAAATAGGTCTACCATAATGTAATGAACACCAATCTTAAAATATGTCGGTAATGCAGTTTAACAATTTCTTAGGAACAACGCCTTAATGTTCTAACGAAAATGTCGATTGTGCAGAATGTTTCTGTAAAAACAGTCACGAAAAAAGTTGTTTGATAGTATATCGTTTTGTCAGTAGTAGACCGCTTGCTAGTTCAGAGTGTGGCAGTAATATAGTCAGGTACTCTTCGTGTTTGCAGTACTGAACTTGATAAAATAAACAGGTCTCAACGATAATGTCGGTCCAAAAGACGTGTCCACGAACCTAACGATCACAGCGATACATGTGAGCATTTGTGGCTGCTTGCCATTGCGACAGTAAGTATGTTACGTGACTGTGTCGGCCATGTTAGATTAGTCTTTGATCGATCATCTGAACATTGGTCCCAGGTTGAAAACAGTCACAACGTTGTCGATGACATTGAAAATAATGATTTTTCAGATTATGAATTAGTTGTTGTTACTTTTTCTGCCTAAACTGTCTTATGGTTTACAACAAAGGAATGAACTGGGTTTAAAATAATTTACTTGACATTTGATAAATATAATTTGGGCGTATTGCTGGTCAAGTAGTTAAAATTTTGATGCAACATTGATGCGGCAGGAATTGAACTGTGGTCTGTAAAAATGTTGAGAGAAATGCAGTGCTTAAAAAATAATGTCACTGTGTGGACACTTGACAGGATACATGTTCATTGACTCTAGTAAATTCACATGTAAAATTGTATCGAAAAAAGTAAATTTCTATGAATGACCCTATTCTGTTAATAGTTTTTAACTATAGTTCAACTATACGAGCAATAAACTAGCTAGCTTACTATAATTTTAATAAATAAAATGAAAGAAACCACATTTTTATGACCAAAGAGGTTACGAAAATGTAAAAAGGTATAGCTTGCTAAAACAGTTGAAATGCATTTTGATTGATGTAAAATTAAGTTATCAGCTCAAAGAAAGAAATTATATACCAACAAATTCGTTGATATTCAGCATAATTTAAATTCATTATAATTTAGGAACTAAAAATACTACTGAAAATAAAACACGGATTGGCTTTTAAAAGTTGAAATGGTATTGACACTTGAAACGGAAGCATAGAAGATGAATTAAACATTTTTATCGCTGAATATGACAAAGCCGCGCAAAGGCAATAAAGTCGAGGACGACTTTATGGCGGTAATAACGCAAACAGTTCGGCGATATTACTGTGCGACTGTAACAGCGTCAAACGTAAAATGACACTCCACCTGCAACTCGTCTGGGTGAATAGAATGTCGGTCTGTTACAGAGTTAAACGTAAAATGACACTCCACTTGCAACTCGTCTGGGTGAATGTCGGTCTGTTACAGCGTCAAACGTAAAATGACACTCCACCTGCAACTCGTCTGGGTGAATAGAATGTCGGTCTGTTATAGAGTCAAACGTAAAATGACACTCCACCTGCAATTAGTCTCGGTGAATATTATGTCGGTCTGTTACAGAGTCAAACGTAAATTGACACTCCACCTGCAACTAGTCTCCGTGAATAGAATGTCGGTCTGTTACGGAGTCAAACGTAAAATGACACTCCAAACTAATCTCGGCGAATAGAATATCGGTCTGTTACAGAGTTAAACGTAAATTGACACTCCACCTGCAATTAGTCTCGGTGAATATTATGTCGGTTTGTTACAGAGTCAAACATAAAATGACACTCCACCTGCAACTATTCCTCTTGAATAGAACGTCGTTCTGTTCGTAAAATGACACTTAACCTACAACTAGTCTCAGTGAATAGAATGTCGGTCTGTTACAGATTCAAACGTAAAATGACACTCCACCTGCAACTAGTCTCCGTGAATAGAATGTCGGTCTGTTACAGAGTCAAACATAAAATGACACTCCACCTGCAACTATTCCTCTTGAATAGAACGTCGTTCTGTTCGTAAAATGACACTTCACCTACAACGAATTGCTCAGTGAATAGAATGTCGGTCTGTTACAGATTCAAACGTAAAATGACACTCCACCTGCAACTAGTCTCAGTGAATAGAATGTCGGTCTGTTACAGAGTCAAGCGTAAAATGACACTCCACCTGCAACTAGTCTCAGTGAATAGAATGTCCGCCCGTTACAGCGTCAAACGTAAAATGACACTCCACCTGCAACTCGTCTGGGTGAATAGAATGTTGGTCTGTTACAGCGTCAAACGTAAATGACACTCCATCTTGAACTCATCTGGGTGAATAGAATGTTGGTCAGTTACAGCGTCAAACGTAAAATGACACTCCAGCTGCAACTCGTCACAGTGAATAGAATGTCGGTCTGTTACAGCGTCAAACGTAAAATGACACTCCACCTTCAACTCGTCTCAGTGAATAGAATGTCGGTCTGTTACAGCGTCAAACGTAAATGACACTCCACCTGCAACTAGTCTCAGTGAATAGAATGTCGGTCTGTTACAGCGTCAAACATAAAATGACACTCCACCTGCAGCTATTCCTCTTGAATAGAACGTCGTTCTGTTCGTAAAATGACACTTCACCTACAACTAGTCTCAGTGAATAGAATGTCGGTCTGTGACAGATTCAAACGTAAAATGACACTCCACCTGCAACTAGTCTCAGTGAATAGAATGTCGGTCTGTGACAGATTCAAACGTAAAATGACACTCCACCTGCAACTAGTCTCAGTGAATAGAATGTCGGTCTGTGACAGATTCAAACGTAAAATGACACTCCACCTGCAACTAGTCTCCGTGAATAGAATGTCGGTCTATTACAGCATCAAACGTAAAATGACACTCCACCTGCAACTAGTCTCAGTGAATAGAATGTCGGTCTGTTACAGAGTCAAGCGTAAAATGACACTCCACCTGCAACTAGTCTCCGTGAATAGAATGTCGGTCTGTTACAGCGTCAAACGTAAAATGACACTCCGTCTGCAACTCGTGTCGGTGAATAGAATGTCGGTCTGAAATATTGATGGGTTTTCATTATGAAGTATAACATCACAAACTGTAATGATTCTAGGAGCTAGTTGACGAGCTGAAGGATAGCAGTGGCAAGTTGTACCCAGTGAAGGCTGACGTCACGAAGGAGGAGGATGTGACGGCCGCCTTCCGTTGGATCGAGCGCAACGTCGGTGGAGTGGACGTGCTGGTGAACAATGCTGATATATCGATCAGCACTCATGTCGCTGGTAATGCTCTTAGCTCTCTAGCACCGTTGCTCTTTTGTCATAAGCTTTACAAAGTTTTCAACTATTTAGAAATGAGATAGTAAAATAAAACTTACCTAAGTAAATTTTCATTACTTGTGTACATTTTTATATCAATACGATTGTAATTCATACATTCTTGGATGAAGGTCTAGGGAAAATATCATTAATGTATCCGCCATTCTGAAGAAGCCATTATAGATGGAATTAATGTCTCAGCCAACATAAACTATCTACTTGGAAATACCGTTAGGCCCGTGAGTTTAGGAAAATCCTTTGAACCAAATCAAAGTGAATTTGCAAGTTAACGCAGCTTTTAGCAACTTTTATGCCACATAAATTAATAGTAAAATAAAGGAAATCAAATGTTATACTAAAGATTACACATGACTAAGCTACTAGCATACTAAAAACTTTGTAAGTAGTTCATTTAAAAATGTTCTTGAACTTAGAAAATTGTAACAGATCGATTAGATAGGATGTCTAACTTAGTTCTAAAATATCAATCCAAGTCTGAATATTCATGATTGCGTCACAGATGGGCGTATGTCAGAGTGGAGACGTATGTTTGACCTGAACGTCATCGCCCTAGGCTCATGCTGCAGGGAGGCCATCGCGTCCATGCGTGCCCGCAGGATACCAGACGGCCAGATCATCAATGTCAACAAGTATGTGACTATAGTCTACAGTGTGGTTGTTGTTACATTGCGGCTAGTGAGGTTTATTAATGTTATTGCTACTGAGTGATCAAATTAGTAGACGTAATCCTTGTTTTGGTCTCTTAAAAGAAATTTTTTAAGTTTCACATGTACTGGAGCTCGTCCTGTAAATGTAAAGAGTAAATAAGTGCTAAATAACGTATGAATAGAGTTGTAGGGGTAATTCAGCACACGAGATTTCAAGATTTAATCGGTCACCTTTCTCAAAATAGTCTAATATTATAACTAGGCCTACTATGTTTAATATTACACCAGAAATGTTAGAATTAATTGATTAGGTAAAACGACACCCCTTTTGCCTCTAAAACCCATTCAGAAGTTTGAAAGTTTAGTGTAAACTCCCTAATTACTTCCTTAACAAGCAATCTTTGCTCATTACACCACTTGATTTGCTTTTGTGAGCATTCTCTTCCTTCGTACTTGAAGAAATTACACTGATACAATAACATAATTACAATAAACAAATTAAATATCGTGTTTATATTTAAATAGGTTTTGAATCCAATTGCTGCATTACTATACCTGTGCATCAATTAAGACAGCCATTGAAATAAGTAATAGCATTGACTATTGGATACAGAATAGTTGTTGTATTAATAGTCAAAGGTAATAGGTGTTTACTCCAGTTGATGTAAGTAATTAAATGATCGTTAACGAAGCTGAATTTTTTGCGACCTTTTAGCTTTTAGTTGGGACTGAAATGTTTCGTAATGAGGTGTTAACTACTCTAAATTACACCTAACTATTTGAACACATTACAGTATCAGTTTTTTTTGGAAGTACATCCACAAAGTGGATATTAAAATTTATCAGTAAAGTGAAGAAGCGTATGTATTTGATCACGCACCATTAGTATCTCGTTAAGAATCGGTTTCATACGAATCTTGCAAGTGTGAATCGGTTTCATACGAATCTTGCAAGTGTAAAAAGCTCATATAGTTTTAATTAACATAAGTTGAAATCCCCCATGAACGCTCGTTGTATTTAACATGACAACTTCGAAGATTTTAACGACAATTTGGTATTCATATGGTGGTCACACCCTTGTCTGTGAATAGAACTAAACATTAAGGTGTAACCAGTAAAAAAATGCAATGAAGTTGATTAACCTCATTGAAAAAGTGTGTTGGTGTCAATTATTGATTTTTGTCGAATCCGCTAATTTTTTAACAAACTAAACGGGAAGGAAAATCCATGCTATAGTAAACCATCGTTTATGTCACATCAATTATCTTAATAAAACGGAGGAAAATAGAGCTTTAGACTGTACCACATTTTATGAGTGGCTCATTTATTTGGTTCATATAGATGAGATGTCTACGAGTACTATTTAAAAGTCCATGACTTACACGAATTTTCATTTTCTCAAAGTTCAACACAATTTTAAATATCTGTTACCTACGACCGTTTTTTTTAACTAGCCGTTTCAATTCAGTTCTTAGAATTGAAAAGATTCACTTATTAGTATTGTTTACTTACTTAATAGCATTGTTTTTTTTGTTTTTTTACTTAATAGCACGTGTAATGAACCAATGAGGTCCAACGACTGAGAGAAAGGAAGTAAAATTGTATTGCTTATATCAACCAATCAGCTGTTCAGGCCAATTTAATTATTGTTAATGAGTGGTGCAATTAGTGTTTGGTACAATGATTCGTTGCATCACTGTCAGCAGCAATGAGAGGTTATAAACGAAAACATAACCTCTCTTAGAAGTTATATGAATAGTGATTGTTTTTATTGAACACTGTCGTAGGTAAAGTAGTGTACGCAACTCGTTGCGTTAACTACTATCATGTTTTCGCTTGACACACTGTTTCTGAGCTCTGCCCGTGACATTTTAATCTTTAATCTGTCTACTTCCCTTTCAGTCTGTCAATTCATCGGGTGTCCCCGTTCCCACTGGGCAGCTTCGTGTACTGCGCCTCCAAGAGAGCCGCAAGGGTATTGACCGAGGGTCTACGTAGGGAATTGGCTGCCACCAGGTCCAAGATCAAAGTCACGGTGAGGAAGTCATGAAAAGGAATATTTACTATGAAAACATTACTAAGTAATGCAGTGATTCGTTTTTGCCCATAATTATCCTATACAGTATATTAATAGGCAAGCATGTTGATTTAAATCCTTTTTTTCTCAGATCGAGTGCATCGCAGGAAAAATCTACGCATACTGTTAGAAAGATATTTGCCTGTTGATGTGCAGGCCCCTTTATAAATTTGAATAGGCTTAAAAATAAGCACAAAAATGAATACAAAAAAATAATATGGGCCTCTTGGGTTGCCATGCTGATGAATAAATAAAAACGAAATATAAACAGAAAATCAAAACAAACGGTAGGAATTCCAAACATGCGTTTTTTTTTACAGTGAGGGATGAAAATAGAATTTACACCACATATTTTTGGTCGAGTTTTCGACCACGGAATGACCTCTAGTTTACAATAGATAGGAGTGTAATCTAAAAAAGAAAGAATCCGTAATTTTATACTTGTATTAGTGATAAGACCGTCCGATAAGGAAATAGGTCCACTATATTATTCTTTGGAATTCATTTATGGAATAATCAAGTGGTAGATTAAGTTAGAAGTTATTGGAAATGATTGTAAAACATTCGACTGCGATGCCATGGTGATGTAAATCAACCATCACTATGTATTAACGAAACAACCCAACGTTTTCCAGATACATTATAGGCCCGTGCCTTCTATTTTGTATATGTTTAAACACGACTCCATCAATGATTTTGAAGACTGTGGTGAATATATAATCAGCATACGTAAAACACATACGTAACATACGAGCACACGTAAAAGTAATCAAAACCAGGTGTGTTAACTTAAAATAAAAACCCAATCCTTAAAATATATCTTGAGTCCTCAATATTGGAAGATTAATTAAGACTTTGGAAGTTAACACGGAATGAAAGTAAATTATAAAAATCCTCGAAAACTAAAGCTATTGCGGAAAATTGCTTGTGTTATTCGTGAAATAAAATTAATTTGAATTCAGTTTGCTTTACACATACGTTAACATTTTCTATCAAAGTGATGGCCCAAATGTCGTTAGAACATATGAAGATTGTAAGTCTGAGGAGAGTTGTTTCATCTTACTGTCCATTTGATTGCTTCCCTCTTAACACGTTGGGTGCTGATGACGGGAATTCCCGCAATTGCTTAACATTGAAATAAATGCAACTTTTATGTTCAAACATGTCGACAGCACGAATAGTGTTAACAAACGACTTTTATACATCACTCTTCTAACAAGATTCTCAGCGACTGCACATTTGGACTTCTCCAAAGTCTCATTATATGCTGAACGATTTTCATAAATACTTGTTGTTCATTCAATTATTTATATAATGCAAAACCTGGTAAATCCATTATCACGGTTTGTATATCAAGAAGCGATTTGCGTGGTTGAGTTTCGATATGCATTAATTGTTCACAAAGAAGAGAGATTTTCAATTAGATTAGTTTCCCACATAAATATAGATAGGATTTAGTAAACGGAAAAACTAAAGCAAGCTTGCACAAACATGCATTTCTGGTTGAACACCATTGGCTTTTACTAAATGATAAGCTTATGATTTTGAATATGTCTTATACAAATACATTACTAAACCTAGTAACTTGACCTCCATGTATCAATTTAACTTAATGAAATCATCTATACACAATTAGAAACAATTAGGAACGATGCCTTGTGTTACAAGTTAGACCTAACCCAGTTGTATTTAATTGATAAGCATCTATATAATTATAAAAATTCATAAGTTTTGAACTGTAATATAAAAAAGAGTCAAGTAACGTCGCTCTTAAAGGAAATTAAACTGTGGAAAATATTCAAAGGTTTTCAATTCGTGGAAATGTTTCATATAAAGTTGACGTGACAATACAAACATATTTCTAGAAACCATTTAATTTCCAACAGTTCTTTTAACAGTTAACATAATTGAATACCTTTTCTACGTACATTACTGAAATACCGGTAAACACTGTTACAAAAAAGCTTTCAAAGAATACGAGGTGAATTGCGAGAACCGGCTTTATTTTCTTGCTATGCTTTGTATCTTGTTTCGTGTTTCTTGGTCACTATTTCGACAAAATTTGATATGTTTTAGATCTATGCTATATTTTAGCCGGACAGTTCTAAAATCTTTAATTAATAGGCAAGCATCTTTCTTCTTGAGAAAACCTTTTTCTCAGTTCGTGTACATCGCAGGGAAAATATACGCTTATCGTTAGAAAAATACAATTTTCCTGTAGATGTGCGGAAATTCTTTATAAATTAAAATAGACTAAACAATAAGCACAAAAAATGAATTTAAAATTTAAAAAAATGTAAATGGCCTTACGGGTTGATATGCGACGAAATAATTAAGGTGACAAAATAACAAAGCAACATAAACAGAAAATCAAAACAAATAGAAGAAATTTCAATCGCACGTTTTATTCACAGTATGGGGTGAAAATAGAGAAGTCTGTACATTACATATATTTGGTCGAGTTTTCGACCACTGGACGACCTCTAGTATCTATAATATGAGAGAAAGCTCTATAGGCTAACCATATTATCAAAATATATTCCTGAACCGCACGAATGTGCTCTAGCAGTTATGTGATAAAATTATATTAATTGCAATACCTTAATACTTACATAGTTCTGAATATAAATGCTAAGACAGTATAAAGTTGATGTCTTCAAACTACAAACAATTAATATTGGATGTGCTAGTGTTACATGTGGTTAGCGTCATAGGTGCAGGAAGAACGGGTTCGATCCCGAGCATGTAAAAAAAACTGAGATTTTAACAATTTTCCCTTCAAAGAGTTTGTTGTTTCTTTTATGGAAATGTTACTGGCGTACATGCAAAAACAAGCATAATAGGGTGGTTGAGGTAAAAAAATACGTTTAGTCATAAAAAATACCGGGTCCGGTAGTCATAGCAAACTGGGTTCATTGTTGCCGACACTTGGTAGACGGGTACGACACTGTTGTGTCGAGAGCCAACCAACACTGATTTGCCAAATACTATTACAAGTTGTGACATGCGTAGTCGTTTATAGGCTGTGTGTGTTTGTGTGTGTGTTTAACTACATTGCCGTGTTGTCGTTCCAGTGTGTAAGCACCAGTGTGTCGGACCCCCAGCTCGTCGAGGTGGTCGGCTGGAACGAAGATGTTTACCTCAACAAAGTGTTCTTCCACTCCAAGGACATAGCTGACACTGTCATCTTCGTGCTGTCCGCCCCACCCAACGTCCAGGTATATTGTTCCATTATGTCCTGTGTCGTAAGCATATATTACTGAAGTTTTGTTTACATTTCCCTGAGCATTGTAGCCTATTAATGTATTCCTCGAAGGCTTTAAGTTAAATCCTACAAGGAACTTGCTGTTTCCTAATCAATTGAACTGTTCTCAAAAATCATATTTGGAAAGACTCAATCTATTGTGAAAAATTAATTCAAGAATTAATTAAACCCGAACACTTACAGAAAGAAAATAAAGCTCAAGCCACTACAACGATCGTGGGACCAAAGCGACCAGTGTAACTCCCAAGTGAACACAAGTAATAGTTTTTCCTATAAAATGTATACTTAACTTTACAAAATAAATAATTTATTTTTCATGTTCATGCCTACTCAGATTGCTTCATTATATTTGATTAATCAAACCTATGATTAAGATTGTTGATGGAAGTTACTTTTGGATTAGATGCAAGTAATAAACGTATCACTACCGAAAGTGGAAGTGTTTTTAGGTGAACTTAGCAGTAATGGTTAACTTATAAGCGTCTTACCTGGTATAGATAGGTTTTACCAGATTTTTTACGTTCTCCCCCTATACGGAGAAAGTATTGTTTTCATCAAAATTTTTAAATTTGAGCTTTGAATAGATATATCCGTTTTGGGCCCCCCTGAACCCAAAATGTTTGTCCGTATGCGTGTCAGTTTGTATGTGTGGATGTGTACAGAGCTACAGACCATACCTGTTGTCCGCTTTTGATGAAATTTGGTACGTGAGCACATGGTATCTCCAGGCACCTTTTTAATTTTTTTAATTTTGTTTTTTTAATGGTGGTTTTGCCATAAAACCCATAAAATAACGGAAAAATTGAATTTCATTAAAATGGCCAAAACCTTTTTTATATTGATTATATATATATATATATATATAATATATATATATATATTATAGTCCTTTAAATTCCGAACAAAATAGTACAAATTCCATTTCCCAAAAAATACGGTTCGAAAGTTATTGTTACTTTTGTTATTTTCTGATAAAAACCCAATAAAAAAGGAAAAATCAAATTTTGAAAAAAAAACTGGTTATGATTAAAATTATCATGTAATGGTCCTTTAAATTCGGAACAAAATGGTACAAATACCATTTCCGTAAAAATTAAGGTTCAAAGTAATTGTAACATGTGTCATTTTCCATAAAACCCCATAAAAACAGTAAATAAGATTTAAGGAAAAAAACTGGTTTTGATTATAATAAATTTGTTATTGCCCTTATAATTATAAAAAAATAGTGCAACCCCCATTGCTGAAACGAATACGGTAAAAAAGATGTTGCAACTTTTGAAATTATCCCTATAAAATACCATAGTTAGATACTCCCACTGCTTACCCATGATAACGTTTGTTCACAAGCTAATGGGAGAAAGTATGCGTCAGATTTCTGAAACCGTTTATTTATTTGATTATTATTTTGAGTAGCAAAATTTACATGGAATGTCAAAATTTAATTAAGTAACATTTTGCATATGACCATAATACTTTGTCTGAGCTCATAAGATAAAAGATTGTAATTTTGCACTGGAATTCAAGAGGTTCTAGAGTGTCTTTCATGAATCTGAAAATTTGTTTTCGCGAAATGAAATACAAAGCGGTGACGTTTTTGCTAATACACAGTGAAAATATAAAGACACTTAAGAAATACAAAATAATACTTTTCCAGTGTCTATATTATAAACATACTGCGCTGATTCGTGTGGTAAGAGAGAACAACTTAATGAAAAAATCATCTCTAAAATTCCCAAATATAAATGTTAGCTTCCTAAATATAGTTTCCAAATACAAATGTTAATTTTAATATAAAAATAAATTGATAATTTTACTCTTACTAAGTCCAATATAACAGAATACTAAGTCCTGTATAACAAATTGGAATGAATATCTTCAAATGTTAAAAGGGACGTTTCATCAAATCTTTAATGGCTTGAAGGTCTTTAAAGATTTCAAGGATTAGTCGCCACAATCAAACTTTTCTTTCGCTTAGATTCCAATATCGGCCAGTTCCCTTGCCTAATTTACATAGACCACGTCTTTATTTCCTTCTTTTCCCTTTTAGAAGTTTTAATACCAATCGTTCAGAATATCTTAAACATGGAATTCCACGTACACTTTACACTTGATCGTAATTCATAGTACCTAATTTAGTGTGGGGTTTTCTGTATTTTCTTTAATGTGGCCCACTCTTTTGTTTGGAGTTCATTCAGCATGTTTTGGTATTTTTTGCTATTTTTTAATTGTGGCAAGATAATTATAAACACCTTTGACAATGCTGACCTTCTTCAATGTCAGTGATTTAATGTAATACAAATACAAATTTTTATTTATTAATAAAAAAAAAACCAACTAAAGACTAAAGCTTAGGATGAAAACAAGTTATCATGCAATGTGTGTTAATAAGTAAGAAGCCACTAATAAAAGCAGTCATTGAAGAGTCAAATATGTTGGCAAGGCGTTGTGTACATAAATCGATGAGAAAGATCGTTTATGTACCCAAAAATAAGGGAAAATTCCCATTTTACATAATACAGCGTGTTTCTAATTTTATATATCCACAATAAGATGAATTTTCTTTGGTCGGGATATGCCATGTGTATATCATACAAAACATATCTTGTAAGATTTTCCACTTTTGAAGAATGGATAATAGATTACTCAATACTAGCACAAGAACCTTATAGTCCGGCAGAATTGACCTGAACCTGGTTTTGTCCTATTAAGTTTTTTTTATTGTTGATATGTGATATCTAGGGTAAGTAGACCCTAAAACCACCGGGTACTTTTTTGGTACCCTTGGGCAACAGCCGCCATCTTGGAAAATGGCGGGAAACGTCAATTACAGTGTAAGCTTTTACTTAAACCAGTGTAATTAAAAAACTATTTAAGATGGAACAATGCATATTATTTAAAAATGTTTATGGTTAAATTCCCTATTCAGAAATACCATATATTAAATATATATAATTTGTTTTAAGGTCAGTATTACTTTTCAAATTTTATAATTTATAAAAAAATAATGTCATATTTATTTTTATTTCAATTTTGCGACTTAGTTACTCAATATATAACCATAATATATATTACAAAGTTTGTAGAGCTTTAAATTTTGCATCGAATACATGTATGGGATGTTTTGTTGGATCAAGGGTAACGCCAGAACAAAGCGTTAGAAAATAATTTTTTTATTGATTTTCAATGAAAAATAAGGATAATTTATATGTTTAATAAAATTGTAACATCTTTCCTGAAACCATCCGCCTCTTCTCTCATGCTGTTTTTGGTATTAAAATGTTTGTAAAATTACCAAATTTAATTTGATCTATTAACTGTTTATATTTAAGGACTTTAAGGCCGATCTATTCGTCTTCACTCCAAAGAAACAATATTTTTTCAAAAAGAAAAGTTTACATTTTTACTAACCCATTGACTTATTATTATTAGATGTTGTATGTATTGCAATAAAAACACTCAGTAAACATTTGGCATCCATTTGACATGTAGATCACTGAAAACGAACAAGTCGGAGGTGAAAATTACAAGACTTCAACCAACAAAGATTTTAATGGTTGTATAATTTTCTTTGAAAAAAAGATTGTTATCTCGAGTACTGATTATGCGATGTTATGTTTTTTTATAATAACATACCCAGCAAACTACTGGCTTTCATTTGAGGCATTGATCATTCAAATCTAACGGGTTTGAGGGGATTTATAGAACTTTAACCAAATAACATTTTAGTTTTTTCAAGATTTGTTTTTAATTAAAGATATAATCTCAGGTCATAATTACGTTATATGAAATATTATATACTATGAATACTCAGTGAGTTACTGGCTTTAATCCAAGCCATTGACTATTAAAATTGGCTGAGTTGAACATGAGTTGTGGACCCCAAACAATAAAAATTTGATTTTTTTTTTCAATTTATTATTAGTTAATAACTGTGTCTCAAGTTATTTTTACGTGATATTGTATGTTGTGGTATAGGAATACTCAGTGAGTTAATGCGGTTCTTTTCAGCTATTATTTATTGCAATCTGACGTGTTTGGGGCGAGTTATAAGCTTAATCGTAGAATAAAAGTTGTTTTTTCTTAACTTTCTTCTGTATTTAAAGACATATTTCTCAGCTGCTATGTGTACTATGTTATTCGTTCTGGTCTAAAACACTAGGCCAACTTAGAACTTTCATTTGAGACAATTTTCATTTAAATATGTAGATCTTAAGGTGAGTTGTAGACCTCTAACTAACATAAGGTTTTCAATTTTTAAGGACTGTCTTTTATTAAAGATCTATATCTCAAGACCTAAATGAGCTGTGTTATTCATTTTGGTGAAGAAAACTTCAGTAAGCTATGGGTAAACTCAGATATGAACCTAACCTGGTTTATTCCTATCAAGGTTTTTTTTGTTGCGTTTGATACACACCACTGAACAGAATTGAAAAATATGTTGTTGCGTGAGCTTAGGCTTACCTTGCACAGTATTTTGTCATTGTGGATATAATACCTGTTTAAATAGAAAAATACAAACTCAAGACGTCAGTGAAGACTACGACAATGTAGAATAATGAGTTAATACCCCCGCTGCAGCAAACCTGACGAATAAGCAAATTTCCATTTGCCTGGATTGATTTTCAACTAATCTATTAAATTCACATTTATTTTTAACGAGTACCTAGGTTTGCTGCTAAAGAGAAACTAATAAAGTGTCTTTTTTATTAAAATATTAATAACTTAGTATAGAATAAATAAATCTGCCAGGTTTGATCAAAATATATAAAAAAAAAACCAACTAAAACATTTTACAATATTCTCCATAAGAATAACATGGAATTTTAAATGAATTTTTTTTTAAATTTTCTATATATATTTATATATATATATATATATATATATATATATATATTGTGATATGGATCGCAGGTCGAGGTTCGTTAAATGATAAACATGTTAACGTTGGCATGGGTTTATTAAAAGTGACCGAGCACTCAATCTAGGTCTAACGGTACAGTTCAAACTCAGTACAGTCCAAGTACAACAACAATAGTACAGTCTGGGCGAATGATATAAAACTAACATGATATATATAAAAGAACATATTATGACATCTCCCTCTTTTAAAAGAAAAAATTACATTTTTTTACAAATAAAATATTCAACTTTTTCAAAATTAAAATTACTTTTACATACCAACAGTTTTTTTTATTTAAGTTTGATTTTCATAACAAATTAAACTAAGCCTAACACATCTGAACAGCAATATAATCAT